CTTTATATTGTTTTCCAGAGTAACTGCACCAGTTTGCATTCCCACCTGCAGTGCAGTAGAGTTCCCCTTTCTCCACATCCTTGCCAACATCTGTTGTTGCCGGAGTTGTTAACGTTAGCCATTCTGACAGGTGTGAGGTGGTATGTCATTGTGTTTTGATTTGTATTTTCCTGATGATGAGCATTGTTGAGCATCTTTTCATGTATCTGTTAGCCATCTGGATGTCTTCTTTGAATTTTTTTTAACGTTTATTTATTTTTGAGAGACAGAGAGCATGACTGGGGGAGGAGCAGAGGGAGAAGGAAACACAGAATCTGAAGCAGGCTCCAGGCTCTAAGCTGAGAGCACAGAGCCCAACGCGGGGCTCGAACCCACAAACTGCAAGATCGTGACTTGAGTCAAAGTTGGATGCTTAACCAACTGAGCAACCCAGGCGCCCCTGTATGTCTTCTTTGGAAAAGTGTCTATTCCTAACTTCTGCCCATTTCTTCACTGGATTATTTGTTTTTTGGGTGTTGAGTTTGGTAAGCTCTTTATACATTTTGGATACTAATCCTTTATCCAATATGTCATTTGCAAATATCTTCTCTCACTCTGTCGGTTGCCTTTTAGTTTTGCTGATTATTTCCTTTGCTATGCAGAAATTTTTTATCTCGATGAGGTCTCAGTAGATCATTTTTTCTTTTCTTTCCTTTGCTTCCAGAGACATGTCAAGTAAGAATCTTTCAACTGGTGTATCTAGGAAGAAGCCTTGTATAGTGGAAACAGGTTGGACTTTGAAGTCTCTATCAGTTGTATGTTGTTGCATAACAAACTGCCCCAAACTTGGTGGCTTAAAACAGTAGCCATTTTATTTCCCATAGTTCTATACGTTGGCTGAACTGATCGTCTCTTGGTTACTTCTGGGTTTATTTATGTGGCTGCATTTACCTTGTAGGTCAGCTAGAGGGTGAACATGGTTAGGAAAGGTGGGCCTCTCTTCATGTTGTCTTTCATTCTTAAGGAGGCTGGACTAGGTTTCTTCACATATAGTCTTGGGACAGCATACCAAGAGCATAAGCCCCAGTGCAAAACACTTACAAACCTTTGGTTTGTCCTGAAGTTGCTGGTATTCCATTGGCCAAACAAGTCATATAATCATCTCAGAGTTAATCAAGGAGGATACATGACATGGATATCGGGAGGTATGATTCATTGATGGCCATTGGTATAACCATCTGCCACAGTCTACCTTCAGGTCCCCACAATCCACATTGCATTCTTATGCAAAATATACTTACCACCTCCCCAATCCCCAAAGTCTCAGGTATGTCATGGCATCAAGGTCAAGGTCTATAATCTCATAATCTCAGAAGTTATGTTAGGTCCAGATGTGGCTGTGGCTCCAGGGGTGCAGCTCCTCTTAGTCCAAGGAACTAAAAGGATAGGTTACCTACGCCTACTACCGCCACACACCCAGTTTGGAATGGTGAGTCAGGAACAAGATAACCATAGTAGTCACTTCCATTAAAAAGAAGGAGAAACGGGAAGCACATAGCAATCATTTGCCCATAATAATTCTGAAATCCATGTGGGTATCTATTATCAGGACCTCCTATTCTAGAAGTAAAGAACATTTCTTGACTAGGACCCAGACTGTTATCTGGGAGAGATTCCCTAATCCACTGTCCTCCAGAATCTTTGCCCTCTGAACTCTTTTCCCTGAAAATTTTCAAAAAGAAATGATTCAGAGATAGCTACACTTGTAATAAACATAGCATAACATATAGACTTGTCAAATTACTATGTTATACACCTGAAACTAATGTAACACTATGTGTCAGGTATACTTCAATTAAAAAATAGAGAAGATGGGGCGCCTAGGTGGTCCAGTCCTTTAAGTGTCTAATTCTTGATTTCAGCTCAGGTCATGATCTCACGGTTTGTGAGCTTGAGCCCTGCATCAGGCTCTGGACTGACAACATGGAGACTGCTTGGGATTCTCACTCACTCTTTCTGCCCCTCTCCCACTAGTGCACTCGTGCTCTCACACACACTCTCTCAAATAAATAAATATTTTAAAAAAAAAGATGACTCATACTTGTATCTGAGCAGCTGTCTCTGCCTGATTGCTTGTCCATGGAAAAGTTGATTCAGAAGCTCCTTTTTTTTTTTTCTTTTTCCTTTTTTCCTTTTAACTGTCAACTGTCACTTGAGTTTAAGCTCATACAACTCGCTTAAAAGCTTTTTGGGATTTCTATGAATGTCATTAACATTCATTCCATGCCCTAAAAGACATAGCCATGGTTCTTTTTTGAGGTAGACATCTCTACTTCAGGTTGAGTATAAGGCTTCTGTGGGACAGTACCCTTAAAATTCTTAGAGACCTTTTGTCTAGCCAGAGGGGTCTGTTAGGCATCTCCTAAATTTGTTAGGTCTTTAGAAAAGGCCTTATAGCTATAGTTTGGATTTGATATTTTTCCTAATACCATGTCTTTCTTTGACAGTCTTTCCTAGAAAGACTGGAAATGTGAATGTTTCCTTTTCAACCTATCAAGTCTTTTCTCCTTTATAGGTCCTCTAAACTGTGCTTCCAAACTAACAATTCTTCTTTTAGCTCATCTCTCTTGTACCTTGTCATGTGCAGCTGAAATAATACAGATGACATTTCATCATTCTGCCTGGTAATCTTCTTATCCAGGTACATAATTTTATTATATATTTTTTGTATTTTTCAAGTTACCATAGGCAATAGTTTTGCCAATTGTTTCACTGCCTTCTAACATAATATGTCACTTCTCAATCTCCAGTAACAATTTCTTCACTGCCTTTCTAGCTTCCACTAAGAATTTGTTGTCTCTTTAGCTTTCATGTCTAGAACCCACCATTCAGACGCAAAGCCACTGACACATATTTTAGGCTTTTGGTGAACAGCACGCCATCACAGATATTCTAGTTTCTGTATCAGATATCCATTGCTGCATGGCAAACTACCTGTAATTTACTAACTTGAAATAGTCATTTTATTTCTTACATTCTGTGGATTGACTGGATGGTTCTTGTACCTAGGGTCACTCATGTGACTGTTTTGGACGAATCTTAATACAGAAGCATTTTTCAAGCTTTGCTTATGTCACATTTGCTAAAGTCTTTTTGGCCAGTGAGATAATATGGCTAAGCCCAGAGTGAGTATGGATGGGACAACACAGGAACATGGAAGCCAAGAGGTGTGATTCACATGAAGTCATTTGTAACAGATGCTGACAGATTCCCAGCTCTACCTTACTGTGTGCCTTTGGGAAAATCATTTAACAGTGTGCTGCAATTTTCTCACCTATAAAAAGGAGTTAGTAATACCTATCATAGGATGATTATGAAATTTAAATATTTGAGTAATTATTTTTTATGATTTTAAAATAATGCTTTTGTCATAGAAAATGTACAAACTATAGAAAAGCATAAAAAAAGAAACATTTCTTCAAATCCCATCTGATGCAGTACTGTACTATAGGCTCCTCCAGAGTCTTCTCTGAATTTTATTTACTACTGTAGCTATATATCTTGGTTTGTATTCTGAAATGTAAAGTCTTTGAAGGAAGAGACCACATTTTATTCATCTCTGTAAATCCCATAGCTTTGCATTAGGGTTAAAAAAGATAATGTGTGGAAGTACTTGGCTTAATGCCTGACACAAGTTATGTTCTCCCTTAAATTGGACTTTCATTAGATACTAGTAAAGAATTTTAGATATCCTAAAATTACAGAGTTGGGAAAGGAAAGCTGAGAACAGATTATTTAAATGAATCTGTGGAGGGTGGCCTTCACTGCCTAGCTTCTCTTTGAGGAATCCTGGTTATTCATGGGAGGGAGGGTGAGGAACATGTCAAGATCTGCTTATAGGGGTGCCTAAGTGGCCTAGTCGGTTAAGTATCCGACTTCAGCTCAGATCATGATCTCACAGTTCCTGAGTTCAAGCCCTGCATCGGGCTCTGTGCTGACTGCTCAAAGCCCAGAGCCTGCTTTGGATTCTGTGTCTCCCTCTCTCTGACCCTCCCCTGCTCACGTTCTGTCTCTCTGTCTAATATAAATAAACATTAAAAAAAAAAATCTGAGTATAGATGCCAAAGTGCTCAGTAGAGAGGCCTCTATTAAAAACTTCATTAGGACTCTTAAATATAGAGAACAAACTGCGGGTTGATGGGGGAGAGGGGAAAATGGGCAGTGAAGAGGGCACTTGTTGGGATGAGCACTGGGTGTTTTGTGTAAGCGATGAAACACAGGAATTTACTCCCAAAACCAACAGCATGCCATTTATACTCTATGTTAGCTAACTTGACAATAAATTTTAAAAAATAAATAAAAAGTAAAAAGTAAAGATCATACCCTTTTAAAAATTTAAAAAATAAAAATAAAAACTTCATTAAAAAGGAATAATCTAAAAAAAAAAGGGGGGGTGGCGCCTGGGTGATTCAGTTGGTTAATCATCCGACTTCAGCTCAAGTCATGATCTCACAATTCACCAGTTCGAGCCCCATGTCAGGCTCTGTGCTGACACCTCAGAGCCTGGAGGCTGCTTCAGATTCTGTCTCCTTCCCTCTCTCTGCCCCTTTTCTGCTCATGCTCTTTCTCTCTCAAAAATAAACATAAAAATTTATTTAATTAAAATTTAAAAAAATAGGGGCGCCTGGGTGGCTTAGTCGGTTAAGCATCCGACTTTCGCTTAGGTGATGATCTCGTGGTTTGTGGGTTCGAGCCCCGCGTTGGGCCCTGTGCTGACTGCCAGCTCAGAGCCTGGAGCTTGTTTCAGTCTGTGACTCCCTCTCTCTCTGACCCTCCCCTGCTCACACTGTCTCTCTCTCTCTCTCCTAGAAATAAATAAAACATTAAAAAAAAATTTTTTTTTAATTAAAAAAAATAAAGAGACTAGCCATTGAAATCTTTTATTGTTAAAAACTGAAGTCTGACATTACTGACATGATGGTATTCTTGACACTCAGACAAGTCTTACCTTCACATTTTAGTCAAAGAAGTTTGGCAGAGATCACAGAACTTATCCACACTGCTCTCCTCGTACATCGTGGGATAGTAAATTTAAGTGAATTGCAGTCTTCTGATGGACCACTGAAAGACATGCAATTTGGAAATAAAATAGCTATCCTGAGTGGAGACTTTCTTCTAGCAAATGCCTGCAATGGACTAGCTCTGCTACGGAACACCAAGGTAATACCGGGCAGGGTTTGCTTATGTCTGTCTGGGTGGTGACTTTTCGGTGGCTCTTGGTTGACTGCTAGAACTGTGGAGGCCTGTGTGCCCTGCTGCCTCAGCCCTCCACCTGTGGATGCTCCATAAAATTGTGATGCTGATGGTGGCAGTGGCCACACCAAGTAAAACATAAATGCTATGAAAGAGTTTTGAAATTAATTTCTTAATTTTTTCCTGGTTATAATTAATTATTTGTTAATTATTCAATATGGTTAAATATTTAACATAATGAAGATTTATGAACAAATATTACCTATTATCTCACTATCCAGAGATAATCACTCTTAGTTAATATTGTGATGTATTTCCTTTCAGGCTTTTTGTTTGTTTGCTTACTCCTACCTTTATATATGTGGATTTTTTTGTAACATAGGTGAGAACTAATGTACATAAGATTTTTTAATCCTGCCTATTTTTTCCTACTTCATATAATGATGTAGGCACTTTACCATGTTATTAACATTTTTCACAAACTTGTTAATGGTTGTGTAATATTTGGTTGGTTGGTTGGTTATTTATTTATTTATTTATTTATGAGAGAGAAGAGCATGAATGGGAACGGGCAGAGAGGGAGAAAGACAGAGAATCCAAAGCAGGCTCTAGTCTGTGAGCTGTCAGCACAGAGCCCAATGCAAGGCCTGAACTCATGAACCATGAGATCATGATCTGAGCTTAAATCTGGCACTTAACCGACTGAGCCACCCAGGCACACCTATGTAGTAATCATTTATTTAACAAATTTCTCATTTTTGGAGTTTAAGTTGCTTCTAATTTTTTACTGTCATAAATAGGTCTGCAGTAAACATCTTTACAAATCAGTTTTCCTCATTCCAGATTATTTTGTCAAGATAAAACCTAAAAGTGGTTCAAAGGGCTTAAACATTTTTAGCATATTGCCAATCTGCTTTCTAGAAGGATTTGAGAGTTATTCCTTACATATGAGTTTGAATTAGGTTTAGCTAATTCAAGACAGAATCACCCTTTCTCCTATAAAAACATCCAGGACTAGGCAGTCCAGGATTGAGTTTACAAAGTCAAGAACCTAGGCTTTTTATTACTCCTCTGCCATCCCTATCTTACCACTTTATTTATGGCCCCAAATAGCTGTCATCATGTTCTCACTTCAGTCGGTAGGAAGGGAGGAGGAGGAAGGACAGAGGCCAGATCTCCGTCTCCTGAAGATCAAGTGAGGGTACATCCTGGTTTGCTAAGGATAGTCTCAGTTATGTCTCCTGTCCCAGAATCCCATCTTACTTAACATTTGTCCTGGGTTTTTTTTTGTTTTTTTTTTTTGTAAACAGAGGACAATTAATAATTACATTAGAATGAGCCAGAATGGGTTTCATAGGTGTCTACATTATGCTTCCAACCTCCGCCTCAGTTTTTGTCTCATGTAAGCTAATAGTATGTGAGACCCGTGTACAGTGGAGACTGTTCTCATGTTAAGGTGATACTAAATCTGGAGGACAACCAGCAGTAACTTTTCAGACACCTCCCAATCAAGGATAGAACGCAAGGCAATTGGTGGTACAACAAAGTGTACTCAATGTATAGGTTAACAGTTAACTTCTCCCTGTGTCATGTGTAGAAGTATTTGACACTGCTGCCCCAGCTGGCCACTTGATGTATCACCCAATTGCACTGTGGCCCATGCATGGCCTTTAAGAGTCACAGAGTCATCAGGTACCAGTCCAAAAGCTCAGTGGGAAACATAGTAAAGTGATAGTTTGGTGTCTGTGAAGTGTGTATGGGAAATCAAGGCTGAACAGGGGAAGCGGTAGAGAGTAGACTGAGCACGCTTGCTTGTGCAATGTTAACCTGTAACTGTTTTATTGTTTGGCAATGCTTTGTTTTTGCGATAAACTCTTCTGACAACAATAAGCTAAAAACTATATATTTCATTTTTTAAAGTACTGAGATAGTTGATAAAGAATGTGTAATTCTCATAAAATATTGGCATTTATTATCCACTATGGAAGTCATTCTGGTATTACTAGCCACATGAAAACAAGAAGCATCAAATCTGCTAAAAAAGTATCAGGTCCTATTTCCAAAGTCAGCAGTTATTTGAAGACTTCCTGAACAGACTTTTAGCTCTATTACAAAGCTGTAATCATCAAAACAGTATGATACTGGCACAAAAACAGACACTCAGAACAATGGAACAGGATAGAGAACCCAGAAATGGACCCACAAATGTATGGCCAACTGATCTTTGACAAAGCAGGAAAGAATATCCAGTGGAATAAAGACAGTCTCTTCAGCAAGTGGTGCTGGGAAATCTGGACAGCGACATGCAGAAAAAAATGAATCTGGACCACTTTCTTAAACCATACACAAAAATAAACTTGAAGTAGATGAAACCCTAAATGTAAGACAGGACACCATCAAAATCCTCAAGGAAAAAGCAGGCAAAAACTTCTTTGACCTTGGCCACAGCAACTTCTTACTCAACACCTCTCCAGAGGTAAAGGAAACAAAAGCAAAAATGAACTATTGGGACCTCATCAAAATAAAAAGCTTCTGCATGGCAAAGGAAATAGTCAGCAAAACTAAGAGACAACCAGCAGAATGGGAGAAGATATTTGCAAACAACATATAAGATAAAGGGTTAGTATCCAAAATGTATAAAGAACTTATCAAACTGAACCCTCAAAAAACAAATAATCCAGTGAAGAAATGGGCAGAAGATATGAATAGACACTTCTCCAAAGAAAACATCCACATGGCCAACAGATACATGAAAAAAATGCTCAACATCACTCATCATCAGGGAAATACAAATCAAAACCACAATGAGATATTACCTCATACCTGTCAGAATGGCTAACATTAACAACTCAGGAAACAACAGATGTTGGCGAGGATGTGGAGAAAGAGGATCTCTTTTTCACTGCTGGTAGGAATGCAAACTGTTGCAGCCACTCTGGTAAACAGTATGGAGCTTCCTGAAAAAGTTTAAAATAGAACTACCCCACCACCCAGCAATTGCACTATTAGATATATATCCAAGGGATACATGTGTGCTGTTTCAAAGAGGCACATGCACCCCAATGTTTATAGCAGCACTATCAACAATAGCCAAAGTAGGGAAAGAGCCCAAATGTCCATCAATGGATGAATGGATAAAGAAGATGTGGTATATATACACAATGGAGTATTACTCAGCAATCAAAAAGAATGAAATCTTGCCATTTGCAACTATGTGGATGGAACTAGAAGGTATTTTGCGAAGCGAAATTAGAGAAAGACAACTATATGATTTCACTCTTATGAGGACTTTACGATACAAAACAGATGAACATAAGGGAAGGGAAGGGAAGCAAAAATAATACAAAAACAGGGAGGGGGACAAAACATAAGAGATTCTTAAATATGGAGAACAAACAGAGGGTTATTGGAAGGGTTATGGGAGGTGGGATGGACTAAATGGGTAAGGGGGATTAAGGAATCTACTCTTAAAACCACTGTTGCCCTATATGCTAACTAACTTGGATGTAAAGTTAAAAAATTAATTAAATAATAAAATAAAAACAAATAAATAAAACATTAAAAACTTAAAAAAAAAAAAAAAGACTTTCTGAAGATGAGTTAACACATGCAACCTCAGAATGTATATACACATACCACACTGTGAAACCTAACTTTTATTTAGACAGATGCCTATTTTTCTAAATTAATTTCACTCATTTTCAACTATGAGGTTTTGTTTTTGTTTTTGTTTTTTGAAAGAGCAAGCAGGGGAGGGTGAGAGAGAATATCACAAGCAGGCTCCACACTATCAACACAGAGCCCACAGTGGGGCTTGAAGTCATGAACTGTGAGATCATGACCTGTGCTGAAATCATGAGTCAGACGCTTAACTGATGACTGAACCACCCAGGCACCCTTCGACTACAAGTTTTTATGTGCACATAGGAATAAGGGAAGTGATAGTTTTATATTTCTTGGTTCTATTGGCCAAAGAAAACTTTGCAAACAGTTAAGTAATTCCAGTTTTAGTTGACTGTATCAGGTAATTCAGAAAATGTTTTATTCATCCATTCATGGAATCAGGATAAAGCTTTCGGAAGTATATTCTTCCAGAGATTAAGCCAGTATCAGTCAGATTGGAAATTCAGCTTGAAGTACAACGTGGAAGATAAAATTATTAGTTTATAATAAGAATACAAGTACACATTTTGGTGAGGCACACACAGTGTTGTGGTAAAGACAAGGTTCTTACTACATTGAAATAACTGTGGAATACTTCTAACTTGTTGTGGCATACCCATAACTCATACCTGTCTCCAAACAAGTGTCCACATTCCATTAATTGCAGTAGATGGCACAAGTGTTTTTATGTTCAAGTATTTGAACTACAAGATTTTGGTGTTGAGTACAAAATATAGTTCAACTCCAGAGTATGTATCTTCTGTCTTTGTTGTCTGTTGTTAATCAGATTTTCAAAATATACCCCAACGGTATTGAACTTTATTATAAATTTTGGTGACATCTTGTTCAGAATCAATTGGAAATCTGAAATCAAGGGCTCAAGAAATAGAACACAAACTGAAACTTTTAGGGAATTATAATGAAAACAATCAATGACTCACAGTTAATGAAAATTCCACTGGAATTTTCCTTTGCAAAAGCAAGAAAGGAACACAACAAAATAAAGAGTAGGAATCCAAATGCTACCCAAGATTAAAATTTTAAATTATGTAATTGTGATTTGCAGTATCTCACCTTGCAGGAAGCATCTTTTGGTAGTGCACCTATTTTGAATAAATTATACACACACATGAATGAAATGAAATTGAGAAGGCCTAGATTTTGCAGCATCTAATTTTAGCAAAGCATTCAGAAGAATCATAGAGACAATTTATTTGACAAGCTTTGTCTTATAAAAGTATCTGTCAAAGAAAGGTACTCTGAAGGAAGCAAAAAGACAGTACCCTGAAAATATTTGGGCTGGA